GTGCAGACAACACGCCGGTCTGGTCTCTCAGAGAACAGACAAGACTCATCATCATCACCATGGTTACGGCACACTTTCCCGCCATTCTATTTTGGAGAGGAGAGTAAAATTTTAAAAGATTGACATCTCTTATGGAAATACCTGTATTCTAATAACTAAAAACTGACTTAAAATGAACTTTCGGTAAAGTGATTTAGATGAATAAGATTTAGATTAAGTGAGAATTAATTCATTCTGGTTTTTAACTAGAAAGAAAGAATACAGCACTTGAAAGACGAAATTTACAGAGGAATCATTATTGTTTTCATGTTGGTTTCATTCAGCCAATTTGGCTACCAAAGTTTCTAAGCACTCCTGCCTTCAGACGAAGCCCCTGTCCGACATTATAACTTCTTTTCCTCCCCCTTTTCTAACACTTCATCAGACAAGATTACATGTATAATTTATGCAATATCTACGTATATCAACATGAAAATAAATCTATGGCCTAGCGTTAAATGTACAAAAACGAACTCACGGTTTGCTTTTTAAGTGAGCTACCGATTCAAATGTTTCGTCTTTTTCTTAAACATTATAAGCCAAAATCAGGACTATACAATACTTACGCACTTGTCTGTGTGGCAATATGTCCATAAGGCCACAGCAAGTAAATTTGGATGACATCCTCTGCAGACTCCAAATCTAATGCGAGCGGGCGAAAAAAAAGGCGGGCCGAAAAAAAACAAGGTTCCTACATTTTAAAATTTTGACTCAATCATTGTACAAATGGTTTTGATTCAGTGGGAACATCACATATACCCAGTCAGCATCACATATCACTGCATCAAAGTAAGAAACAAAACATTGAATCAGAGCCTTTTCTTGTCTCCTCTCTTCCTAGTTATCTGCCATCCACCTTCCGGCATGGCAACATACATCTTTGCCCATTTTCGGCATGTTGACCACTGTCAGAAGGCAACAAAATTTCTTGTTTTTTTTTTCCAAAATCAGGCGAAAATTAATGCGCGCGCTGATGTCATCCATAAAAATTACTTGCTGTGGCCTAACTAAAATGTAACAACAACGACTAAAATTCCAGCAAAATTTACCTTGCCTTGGAAAGCTTGTCGGTGTACCAACGTGGTATTGTGTTGGCGTAGATTCGTCTGTAGAAGTGCGTGTGTATCTGGCAGCTCACATGATCCTTGACTAGCATGACAAAAGCCAATGATCACCAAGGTCATTCGCAAATGGCAAAAAAACTAATTATCACGGTCTTGGTTACTTTACTACCATGCTTGACAACGCTAATGCACAGCGATGTCTTTTGCAAAAGAAAAGAAACAAGAAGCCATAGGTGACAATCCTCCGTGAAGTTTTATATATTTCAACAAAATCCCATGCGTCAACGCCAGACCTACTGTGCAGACATTATAATTAGGCAACGGTTAATACAATGAGGGCGCGTCACAAGCATAAAACATACAAAGAGCTAAATCCATTACTGCTCCCAGGGCGTGTAAAGATACTGTGCTTCAAGTTCGAAGTTCATTTTAATTACACACACACAATCATTGCATTCACATAGATCGGACTATCATGGTCGTGTCTAGTAACAAAGACAGTCCCACCGTCTTACCGTGCCTGTACCTAATTAGGCGCGCCTGGAACAGGCCAAATTCCAGCAACAGTTGCGGTAAGCACCGCGAGTGTTACTACCGCCGGCCAGATAACCAGTATATCTGCTTACAGAACCTCTGCTACGAGACAACTGCCTAAACCTACGGCCTATTCCACAGGATTGTAAAAGTAGGGATGTTTCTAAAATATGCATTTACTTCAATATCGAAACAGCTACGGTAAAAATAAAAAGACGTGCATCATCACGGACATAATGCCACACCACATGCGAAATTACACAGAAATGCGACGTACGGAAGAATGCGTTTTGGCTGCGAACATCTTGGCATCTCTTAAGCATGGGCAAAAACATCTGGAACCACTTATCAAAACCACCCCGTATCTGCATGAAGTTTCACCCCCCCACTGCTATTCCAAACAACGCGTTTTTCTGGACCATTCCAATTCGCCTCGTAATTGTAGGGGTGCGTCTGCAATATTACATTGACCGCGAAAGCAGCAACGGCAAAAATACACATTCGTGCATCAACACGGGATGCCCGCAGACGGCTTATAAAATTGCGTGCCGATTACACAAAGAGAACCCAGTGTTTTGACTGCGAACATGAAAAATCAGCCGATCACAACACTCCGTCCGGAGGTCCTGACCTCCTTCACGGAGTAATTAGTGGGAAACCACAACAAAACATCACTTTTTAACTTACCCACGGTGATTAGGCAATGACTGAATTTGCTCTTAGTGCGTAAGAAGATGTAATTAGAATGAAGAAACTCTACGCTCTTTTATTCAGCAATTTAATTTACAGTGTTTATAAATAAATATCAAAAATAAATGTTCATGAATAGCTCTACGTTGAAACCACCCTATGGTGGTTAGAATGCAATAAAAAAGCCTATATGTATAAGCCATGCATTGAAAGTCATTATTGAATTACACAGAAATGGTTCATCTTCAATATTGTTTTGCTAACCTAATATTGTCTGAGCTGTGGCTGAAAATTAGATCCACATTTCAGTGGTGGTTCTTTGTCCTGTCGTCAAACTAGCTTGCAAAATCTTCAAGGCCGGTCACAGAGTACTATTTAGAGCTACCATAGAAGTGGTGGGCATCTAAGAAATGAGTTGTCAAAATCACCTACAGTCAAACCTGCTCAAGCCGGCCACCCCGGGGAGTGGAGAAAAAAAGGTCGGGTTGGACAGGTGGTCTGCTTGAAGTCACAACACGACTGAGAGTTAATGCTACCCGATTCGAAGTGCTTAACCCTAAACAGTACACCTGGGGTCCGCGCGGACCCCAGCACTATATATTCTGTAATATCTTTTTTGTTTCGAAAGATTTTTTTCTGAAATTTTAGGTAATTGTCACCCACAAAGTTGTCTCTCAATACAGTGCAGAAAACTCCGTTTCTACCATTTATAAAAAAAATATATCGGATTTTCTTTTGGGGTCCGCGCGGACCCCAGCCGGCTTTCGATCATAATGGATACACTGGCGTTCTTATACATTACCTTATTTCCGTTTTTAAATGTTTTTATGCACTCATCGTATGTCTACCAAGTTTTCAGAGAATGGTGTAGTAATAGAATTAGATTTTAATAACTTTGGTGTAATTATGACATGGTATGACGTCAGAGCTAGTAATATAGTCCGCCATATTGGATTTTGACCGATGACGTCATTAAATTAGCATATTCTATGCATATTAAATGATTTAACTTATATTTAATTATGTAAGATGTTATTATTGTTGGAAAAGAAGTGTAATTTAATATAAAACTCAGAAAATTTTTATGTTTAAACCAAAATTACTTCTATTTTCAAAAAACCTGCCTGCTAGAAACCCGTTGCCATGGCAACACAAAAAACCATCAACTTACTTGTATTAAACTAATATGAACTTTTTTCCAGAGACATTTTAGGAAAGGTCTCCAAATTTGATACTTCTAGCGCAAGCCGTTTAGCCGCTATCTGAGATCAAAGTTGGGCCTCAAAAGCCCCTTCAGTCTGAAATGGGTTTAAAAATCGGGTATTTCTTCTTGTCTTCTTTTCTTCACCAAAAAATAGAAAAAGTTCAAAATGTATGATTTTTGTATGTAATGTGGACACAGAGGTTCCCACATCAATTTGCAAAACAATTGAGCTGGTAGCATGTTGATAATTTCTAAAAATTAGCAAAAAACTGTTCTGGGGTCCGCGCGGACCCCAGGTGTACAGATTAATCAGTCCGGGAAGGTGTTCTGTTGAGGGTAAATGTCAAATACTGCAGGCATTTTTTTTAAATTCCCGAGGCTTCACAGTTTCTGGCAAACGAAGCAATTTTTCAAATATTCCACATTCATCAAATTCAATCACGTAGTAATTTTCCGAGTGCACACAGCAGCAGAAACATTTTCGAACGCTTTGAGCACCCTCCTGAATACCGGCCGTAGGCAGCGTGCGGGTGTATTCTCGGTTTAATGAGGGCCTGCATGGGGGGGGGGGGTAGTGATTACAAATCACGCAAATTTTTCGCCACCGATAACGAATTACGTTAAACTCTCCGAGCTGATTACGACTTTATGCTTCGCGGCTAATGTACTGTTACGAATTATGTTGCTTTTTCTGGAGGCTGCCTACGGATTACGAAGACGAAAAGGCCAAATTACATACGCTATACGAAAAAGGGCATGCAGGCCTCCTTTAATGGATTACTATCTACTTTACTTTCTTGGTTAAATATCGATAGCTGATAAAGACTGATTATTTAACCCATTCGTTTGTATTCTACAAAAAACAACATTTCGCTGTTGTCATGGGACGGAGGAGGGAGACTTTGTGTAAGTGCGTTTTAGCTTTTTTTTTCAAATACAAATAGCTACATTACTGGTACACTCCTTACCGGTAGACTCCCCTCCCCAAACTCTACAATTTGCCACATCGTCGATATTGTGTTCAACTTCATTTCACTCCCAGGAAGATTTGATCAATTGCATTATTGTTATATGTTCTTTGGTGCACCAGATTTTATGTCCATTGTGCGTTTTGTATTTGTTATCCCAATTTTGAGATTATGTTTTTTTTAATGTTTTCAGAGAAAAATCGTTATAAGCACATTGTATGCTTTCAGTTCAATGCCATTAAATCAATAAAATAAAAAATAAACGGCTGCATTTCAAGAAAACGGCTCTATATTAAATTTACACACGTGACTTCCAAAATGATTAAAATCTACCCATTCCTTTATGGCGCCTTTAGTAATGGCTTATAATTATGAATGTTTCATACTCTAACTGTAACCTGCTTGCTTTGATTTCATGATATCTTTACGATATATTTTGATGTAATGTGAGGTGTTAATATCAATAACTAAAGTTCTAATTAATATTAATGACTAAATGCCTTCGCAAATTAAAGAAGTTTATTACACTTTAGCTGTCGGGTCTCTTTTGTCTTTAGAGACTTGGCAGCTATACCAGGTTCGGATACCAGGCTACAGTGTTTACGTGTATTTTGTTCAATATTTTTACACATCGTTGAGGGTACATATTTCGGTTCTGTTCTTCGCCTTCTCCAAAGAGGAAAAATGCGACCAAGCCGCTGAGGTAGGATCCTAAATCTGATTGGAGATTACACCCATCACTTTTAAAGAAACAAAAGGTCGACACCACATATTTCAGTGTATAATGGATTTCATCTACAAGGGGATCTATCAAATACGCCAGACAAGTTTATAGTGCCTAGCCAATTTGGTGATGTCTTGCTGGTTTGTTACTATTTTGTCACCAAACGACATGCTTGAAAACTGATGGAAGTCTAGATCTACAGTACTACATCATGTCGTTGGATGTCGCTGCTTAGCCGATATCGATGAACATGTTTAAAGACCAAATGAATAAGTTTCAATCTGCAGTTCTACATTATGTCGTTAGATGTCGCATCTAAGCGAGGTTCAGCAACTCGCGCAGTGTGTTCAGCTTGCTGCCCACCGCCTCGAGCTCCTCCGTAGCCTGGGCTGTCGACTCGTCGTCAGAAACAGCCGTGACGTCATCAGAAACAGCCATGTCGTCATCAGAAACAGCCGTGTCGTCATCAGAAACAGCCGTGTCGTCATCAGAAACAGCCATGTTGTCAGCTAGCTGATCCTCGAGGTCACCTTGTGTTTCGCGTGTTTCTGTGGGGTGAAAACAACAACAAAGGAATTAGACACATTGTCAATCAGTTTTGTCAACTATTACCACAAAGCAACGTAGCCTGTGTATACAAGCTCTCGGCCTGAGGTTAATGACCCCCACCCCAAGAGCTTGTGGCAGAATAGCTGTAAGCCGGGCGGCCCGTTCCCTTTCCTGGAGTCACCAATAGGAAGCCGGTATTAGGAATTAATGTGGGAACCGACTGGGCCATCACGTGGTTGGCGCCAGGCAGCCGGAGTGGGGCGGAGTACCGGGCGGGGACGAGAAATTTGATCGACTGCGGGTGGGAATTTCTCAGAAATAATGGCTGCGACTAGCCCCAAACCGAGTTTCTGTGCATTCTGGAGTCGGTGTGTGTGACGGCTTTGGGAGTCCCTGGCCCCTAGAGCCGCTTCGGGAAAAGACGATAAAATGTTTCGTTAAACACAGAAACGACGTGTTTGCGTGTCTTCCTACCGGCTATGAGAAGACCGAGATCGTGAAACAGTGCAGAGCAAACGAAAACGGCGGGTTGACGACTGTGATTCTTGTGCCACGCTGTTGACTCCTGTCAAATTGTCGATACTTAATTGCTGGAATCTAAAATGTTACTGGGTTCTCCTAAGCGGGAGTTGTTTATTGTTTTGATCGGTAAAACGCAGGGTAAAATACGCTAGAAATTAATACTTTGTGGGTAAAAGAAAACTCACGCCGAGGGCGAGGTCCACACTTCCGGGTTCAGCGACGACAAAATGACGCGAAAATCGCTAAAAATCCGCATAGAAGTATATAATTTCCCGACTGATTCTTGAAACTAGGCATTTCTTCACTAGAATATCGATGTGTGGTTGTGGAAAATAGCATTTTAGCGCTTATATCGAACAAAGTTGTTTACACGCGCGTCAGCTCGGTCAAATCTTCAATACCGCCGGCGCTGCCGGAAGCGGACGCTACAACTATAAATCAGAGATGCGAAATGTGGACATAGCCGAGTGAAAATCGTGACGTAAATACAAATCCGTGGATGAGATTCTTTTTTTTTTCGGTGTAACTCCCATTTCCCACGAGGATGTTCCAGAAACTTTGGAAAATAGAAACAGATTCGACTCGCGAGCGGGTGGCCAAACTTTTTGGGACATGAAAGGCGCGCCGACTTCCATCACTGGGTAGCGACCGACAGGCCCATAGCAACCATCTCTGTTGGGTGCCGCACCGTCTGAGGGCCGTTTGTGACGTTTGCATCTCATTAACCATATATGGCGGACCAGGGCCGTCGACAGTCCGCCAGCTTTACGCGTGCTTGACATCAAGCTTTTGGGGGGCGGTAACCTAGGGCGGCGGCCGCCAGGAGCGCGATTTAGTCAGGCTAAAAGCAACGCTGCTTGCTAAGATTAAGGCTGGACATTTACTGAACATTCCGATACCATCTCTGACACGTTTGCTAAAGCAGTATGATTACTATAATTCTGTGCCATAGATTTCATATAGCTTTTTATTTCTATATTTTAGTTCTTAGTTGACCATATGAACGTCATTGTACTTTTGTTGCATCTTCTTTGATAACAGCGCCTGTGAGTCTTACCTGGCTGAAGAAGGACTATGTCTGTGATTTCATTCATATCGCTTTTATTTCTATATTCTAGTTTATAATTTTACCATATAAACGTCAGTGTATACGTACTTTTTGTTGCACAAACATACTCTACTTTGATAAGAAGGCGCCAGTGAGCCTTACCTGACTGAAGGACGACTCTTTCTTCAGACACCTCACTCACAAATGGCTCAGAGACGGTCTCCACAGTGTATTGCTCCTGTACGTTGGAGGTGCTATCCCCAATCCGCTCTACGGAGCCCCGCAGACGTTGCTTAAGAATCTCAGTCAGGTCAGCCGGCTTTGAAGCAGTGGACGGATCTGTTCCCTTCTTAACTGGGCAGGCTGGAATAGATATAAGGAAGCTTTTAGTAACAAAATAGCATATTAAACATACCACTGCCAGTGGGAAAAAAATAGGTTTTTAAAAAAATAGGCCTACCGAAAGGAAGAGCTCTTTCCAACTTCCAAATAAGATAGTCGCCTGGTGCATTAAAAGCATAAACAATGCTTTTCGTTTGAATCTCAAGTGGAGAATTTCTCGAAAATGTAAACAATGAATCAGGGATTTTGGAGTTTTGGTGAACCTTTTTGGCATTAAACTAAAGAGAAGTACTGAGATACTTTTAACGTATTTAGGACAGGAGCCGTACAGATGAGTTGTGACAATCGCCAATTGGATGTACCCGAAGTATATAAAGTACCGGTGAAATCACTTTCTCCCAGCCTGCAAAGAGACCATTTTTACTACCAACTTGACCTTATGGTCAATCTGCGGTTACAAAATCTTCCCCTTTTCTTCCACTTTAACGCATTGAAATACAAACGCACACACACATGCACAGCACACCAAACACGCACAAACGCAGATACACACTGTGACACAGACGTGCGCACACAACAACACACACACACAAACAAACACACACATACAAACACACACACACGCAAACACACACACAAACACACACAGAGTCACACACACACACACAAACACACACAAATCACATACACACTCACTCACACACACAAAGTCACACATACACATACACACACACACACACACTCACACATACACACACACACATACACACACTCACATACACACTCACACACACACACACACACATACTCACACACATACACACACACACGCGCACATACACACACACACACACACTCACATGCACACTCACTCACACACACACAAACTCACACATACACATACACACACAGCCACACACACACTCACTCACACGCACACACACACACACACACACACACTCACACATACACACACACACACACATACACA